GTCACTCAAAATCTTTAACTTCTGTGTTAATTATTAAAAAAAGATGAGTGTAGAGTACTTCCCTACAGTGTAAGAAGTAGGATGGAAGTTGTGGTTATGCAAATTGGTACAGTTCCAGATATAAGCTACTCAGGGGAGGAAACCAGAAGTCCTTATCCCACTGTGAGACATGCTCTCAAAGGATTGCCATATATCAAGACTGTATGTAGGAGTGCCACCTGGTGACCAATGTTATGACAAATTCCTCTTAAGACACTATATAGCACAGAAATTTATTGTATGAAATAATAGAATTCTCCTTTTTTAATACACATATTAAAGCTTACTGTTCCAAAGCTCAATATGTGAAGTATAAAACTGACAGTGAAATTTCCAATTTATAAATATAACAGTATTTATAATGTAAACACTAACGGAGTACTTGGTAACTATGGCACTGACACATATTGGACAGAAATTGTTCCCACAGGTAAGGCAGCTAGACCGTAATTAGCCATAGGAGGAAAATGCAGCACAGGAGGAGGAAACCTAGAAACACTAAAATTGCTGTCTTGTCAGAGAAGACTAATTTCAGCTTCCTTACTTCCTCAGTGACACAAAGTCATAAATAACTAACAGACAGACATACGCCAGTAACTCGGTTCAAATGGTAGGTCGTTTCTCCACCATCCTTCAGAAAAAGCCATGGAAGCAAGAGTCGGGAAGTCTTTCAAAGCATCCAGGACTGGGTAGGAGTGCCGAGCATCAGCCCTCCAACAGGAACGCTTCCTATGAGCAGCTCAAGCAGAACTGGGTGAGTACGTATGGACAGTGCTGTACAACAGAAGCAAAAGTAAAGCTACCATCATTTGGCCAAAAATGCAAGGTGGCAAGCGAACCCAGTCGATTATGAGGTTACCAAGCCTCAGGAAGGGAGGACTGTAGCAGCATACCATGCAAGCTCAACCCAGGTCAAGGCACTCATTATGTCATGTAATAACCTGCACAGATCCGACTTCCTAATTAAGTGAATGCCCAGTAAGCTAGCAGCCCAACCAACAGTCATACAATGTTTTACAAAAAAAACTGTCCTGTAAATGAGCATGACTGTGATCAACCACAACGTACTGGATAAGATAGAGGCTGCTGCATTTTAAGTGCCTCCCCCTGTTGTACAGGTTCTTCAAAGATGGGGCATTTTTTGTGGCAAGTAGATTAAGTGACCCAGGCACCTTTGTACATTATTCTAGTACCCACAAGGGCTAAATAGAAGAACGCTGCATGCCTCTGCAAAGGACTGGAAATTACGCTCTCATTATACCCCCAGTTAAGAGGGTAATAAAACATTCAAATATTACAGGGAAGAGGGCAAGCAGGAAGAAGAAACAACTTGATTCTTCCTCAAATTTATCATTTCTCTACCTTTGTTTTCAATTGGTCCAAGCTAACATACCTTCAGGTGTTCAGGTAGAGTGCAAAGCCGTAACAACAGGAAGGTAAAAAATAAAGGGGGTTAGGCAGCCTCACAGTGAACAAGGTTACATACCTTTAAAATGAGGTTAAAGAAAGGCAGTATAATTTTGTGGCAGTGGGAACAAGCTAACAGAGACACTCCCTTTACTTTGGCCATGACTAGACCAAAGTGTGCAGAAGCTAAATATATAAAACTGTAGTGCACAAAAATTACTTCAGCCATTTTTGCACTCTTTCTGTGGGCCTTTCTCCATTTTTCTACAAAATAGCTTTCTGCAAGTGGGCTGGTGTGTTTGAAACTAATGCAAAAAAAACAAAGTCATGTGGTGGTGAAGATGACAGTCATTGGCAGGAGATGCTTTCATTATTGCCTCCCTTGGGTTTGTTTACTGCGTAAGACCCTTTTTTCCTCTTTTCCTTCCTCTTGCTCTGTTCCAGACAAATGTTGAAAAGAAAAATCGTTTACTTGTCTTCTAAATACAGTTAAGGAAAGAAAACCACTTGAATGCAATTTCCTGCAAGATCTCATTAGTCTCATATGTCTTCTGTCTTTTCCTGGTTCAATACAACGTTTTGTCTAGCTGTAAGTAATTGATACAAATATTCCTTGCAGCCTGCAGTTATCCCTCAGCTCCTTGGTAGCCCATCACAGAGAAAGACTGAGTATGTCTGAACTTCATCCTAATTTAATAAGCAAAGAAGTTTAGTCATAGTCCTGTCCTGAACTTTACCCATTATAGTATTTATGAGACAGACTTTCATGCAGCAGGCTTAAAACAAAATACAGACCATCTTTACCTTTGTTACCTATATGTTTAATGACTGTTTGTGGACTTACAAAAATATTCGTATTATACAATTTCGTATCAATCAACAAGTAGAAATAGCAACATGCAAGGACTCCTGATTCTCTTGAAAAAGATCTGGTTTCTGCACGTATAGACAAACAATTCAACAGCTTGTTTGAACATGTTAATTTTGCTACCCTGAAAACTGTTAGTTTTTTAGTTGTTTTTTGGTTTTTTAATAAAGTACTTAATTCTTCCATTACTCAGTATAGGAGTTCCTTCTGATAGTTATCAGGACAAGTCTCAGAAGTTTAAGTACATAGCCAACTTTTAAATCACATCTCCTAGATGTCCATAAACACTTCTGAAAATTCTCAGACAGTTGTGCTGGTATAGCACACATGCCCAGGCATCTTCCAGACAGAGTTACAACATGCTGGAGTTCAGGGACATTTCAAAAATATTCATTAATATTTCTAGAATATTTGACTTGACAAAATGTAATTTAGACTTTCCAAAGGCTGCAAACTTTCTCCTCTTGCTCATGGATCAACCAAAAATGGTAACTGAAAGTTTCTTTATTACCTTCCAGTATCTACTAAATCGTTTTATCTAGAAGTTAGGACATGATTAATATTTTTTTTCCATCCAGTTCCAATGAAGGCACAAACATTTCTAGCTATATGAAGAACTTAAGTACATTAGAACAAATGGAAAGTATTTGTAAGGCTCCAGCTTTAATAACTAAAAAAAAAAAAAGCCACCCCACATTCTTTTTCTGGAACTCTTGCATTGATGTAAACCAATTAATTCATTAAGCCAAAGCATGACAATGTTTTCCAGTTATAGCAGTCTCACACCCCCACTTCTGCAAATTAAAAAATAAAAAAAATAATAATTAAAAAAAAATCAGCTGCTCGCATCACTTTTCCACTCACAGAAAGAATATTTATTTTTTTTTTGCACTATGTTCAGCCCTGAGCCCTTGCAGACAGACAAGCCAGAAGGCAAACAGGAAATCTGTTCCTGAGACCATTTTGTGACCACTGAGAGGGCCCCAGAAAAGAGCAATCTGCTTTCCCCAGCCACAAAGCAAACACCTCGGACTTCAGCAGCACAAAGGAAATATCATCCACATCAATGGCCACAGCCCAAAACTTTTACTATCTTTTGTTAAAGCCAGCATTGTTTCACTTACTTGGGCTTCTAAGTAACTCCAATTACTGTTTTTATGCACCATGCATAATGCCCAAATAGTGGGGGTGTATCTTGCTTTATTGAAAGGATTGCAGTATGCAGCAGTAATGTGCTGCAGTTTATTTTCATGACAAAAAAAGCAGGCCTAACCTGTGTCAATGACTTTCAGCCAGCTTCTAAAAAAGTTAATAAAAAAATAATTAAGTGGGTTAGAAGGGTAGATGTTCTCATTTAAGGCAGCCTGAAATCACTTGAGGATCTGTCCCAGCAAAGCCGTTTCTCAGTCTCTACAATTCTGAAGTTACAGCATAAACTTCAGTCTGCTTACCCGTCTGAATTGGCTCTCTTCAGGTTTACTTGCTCTACTACACCACCAGCACATCTTTAAATGTAACAGTATTATTTTTATTACATCCCACTATGCTTGGCAGTTTGTGTTTTGTTTATGGAAAACCAGAAAAAACAAAGCGAACACGCAAGCACACTGGATATATCACTCCCCCTTCAGAAACGCACCCATTCTTCAGAATCAAAGTCAAAATTTTGCTGGTTAGGACATTCTCTGAAAATGAGCATACACAACACAGTCCAGTGGACTCTTGCCACAGAATACAACAGGCAAAGATCTCTTGTTGACTTGTAGTGTGGTGCTTTCTCTGGCATGCTTGGCTAACACTCCAGCCTGAATTTTCAAGTTTCCTCTTGACTCTTCTAGTTCAGAGCTTGGAGTGAGGCAACTACACCAATATTTTAATTTAATCACAAAGCAGACTGCTGATCAAAACATCAAGCAGAGTGCCGCAGATGAGAGTTGGATTAAATGCAAAGGCAAAAATATATTAAAAAGCTTTTGAATTAAATTCACCTTTCTGCCTTTATTTAAAATTAGCCTCTGGGCTTCATTTCAGAGAATAAATTTTAGGTCTTCAGAACATCTTAATGCATTAACTCAGTTTTTATAAGCCTAGGTGGTGGGAAAGAAGTATTTGAAATAAATAAACTATTAGGACACGTACATTCTCCAGTTATTAAAAGACGACCGGAAGCCAGGTCTGCAAATACCTGCAACTAACTACTCAACATTACTGTTCTTCAAGAATAACTGTATGCTTGTTATGTGTAACTTCATGTACTCCTTATACTTAATATTGAGTCCAAGCACACCTCATTTTTACAGACAAGAGTGTTAACATGGGATTTGCACTTCTCTCAGTATCTTCCCAGTCAAGACTTTCGGGTGTGTTCCCGCACTCCAGAGTTAAATGTGTAGTTTCTTATTCTTGGATATTAGAAAGTCTACATTGATGCTTCTCCATACACATCCTGATCTTCAGTTTATCAGGATGAACAAAGCTGAACACATTTTCACAAACACTGCAGAGTTGGCTTCAAGTACTCTAAAGCGAAGAAATCTTCACAGCAAAGCAAGGATGATGCTGACAAATACCTGTCGAAAAGACAAGGATACATACCTTGCTGAACAATGGCACTTTATTCCCTGTGCAGACAGGAAAGTTTACTTGATGTAAGTCTATCCCAGATTTTGGTGTACAGGAGTTTTCTTCAAACTGTTTCAAGAACAGCCGCCATTTCCTTGAACTGTTTGAAGAAGTTCTAAAAAGCAAGAGTTAAGATAAATCTCAGTTGCCTGAAGAAAAGCTCAAACTGTAGCACGTTAGACAGAAGTCACAATCCATATTTCTCACATTCCCTCTTTCCTCCAGTTACAATTTGCAGCTTGAACTGAAAGTGTCTGTTTTCCTTTTAGTGGGCTGCTTGGCAATGTGGGCACATTCACTATTAAATCTACACAGGTGATGCCTTATTTGCATGGGTTTGCCTATTAATAGGAGAAGATGCTATGAAAGAAAAATAAAAAGTAGCTCTCACACCACAACAAAACAAACACCAAAAACCTTCTCACGCAACTGTTTCTAGTCCCAGCTGATTATTTCAGCTCCAGGCTTCTCAAGTATAGCATCCATTTCTTATAGCAGTTGAACAGCAAATTATTAAATAGGTTTCAACCAGAATGAATACAACATTTCATAACAGAAGGATTCAGAATATCCTTCTCAAATGCCTGCCAATCCAACTCCAAGAATTTATTTATTCGGAAGCTTGTATGATATTCTAGGTGATGTATTCGCCCTTTAAACAGGAATGACAACAGAAGTGCCACATTTATGTAAAATTAAATAAAGTTACATAAGTTCACAGATGAAGGCATAGCAATTAACAGCCAGTGGTGACAAAGCAGACTAACCTCCATTCCTAATTATTAGCATATGTCAGGCTCAACCCAAGTTTTAGATTTTGAGGCTGCGGAACAGTTCCATAGATTTAGAATATTCCATCCATTTCTAACAAGGCAGAGTGACAGCTGACAAGACAGATCCAAGTCTTAACATCTTCAGTTGTTAGCTTATTTGTAAGAAAACCAATTAATTACTGCTAAATTAACATTTTTGGATAAGTGATGTAGAACTAAATGCTATGAAATAAGTATTTAGCTTCAGTGTTTTAAATAATTATTTAATGCTTCATCTTTGAATGACTTCATTAGTAAATAAGCAACAGAACCGTATGCATCACAGTATACAGTTGCTCCTTCACAACAATGTCGCTGCTGTTTTTAAGAGACTGAATCTAGTAACACCGATCACAGACCTTGAACTGTGGGATCGTCATTTCAAAAGATTTCTCTGTTATTTGTCCTGAAGGGTCTGCCACTTTTAGCGTCACTGTAACATAAGGATACTTCAGAGACCTGCAGGTGTCAGAGCTCATCGCAACTCCCAGTTTCCATTTAATATCTACAAACTACAAAGAAGAAAATAATTGGAAACAGTGTTAAAGAAAGATCTAACCTACCATTGCTATTCTGTTGGATGGATGTTTTATAGACAATATAGGACATCTAGAGCTCCTACCCAAATGGGAAACAAACACACACATTCAGATATTATTGTGAATACAAAATGACCTGCCCTTCCTTTTCATAGTGAAAAAATAAGCAATGTAGTAAATTATTTTACTTAATCTATTTTCCTTATTCAAGCACTGTCAAGAGTCAAGTACAGTCTATTTAAAGTTCTGGTAAGAGGAACTTGAGCCAGAGTTCCCCTGGCTTCTGTGTCATTCATGCTTTTTTCATGTTTTTTTAGAAGTTTCTAAATCAAGTGGAAACATGAGAAAAACCTCAGTCAGTACACAAAAATTTTATAACTGCAATAATGGAAAAAATCTAAGGCATTTCATAACTGTATTTTTAGGTAAATGAAAGTATACCATAAATAAATTTCAGACAGGTAAGTTATCATTTTTAGCCTTTTTATGATAGGGAAAACTCTTGAATTAAGTGAAGACAGCCTTTAGAAGCTTACTATCAAGCCTCAAAGTTTTTTTGGGTTTTTGTTTTGTGGGGGTATTTTGGGGTTGTTTTTTTTTTCTCCTAATTCTATACTCTTTTAAGCTATTGTTAGAATAAGAGATCTTAAAATGCAAATACACTCTGCTATTTTTTAAAAAAAGGAAAAAAAAAGGCACACCTGAAATTGACAGAAAGTATGTTTTAAAAAGTTTAAACTTAAGGGAGACAAAGAATAAAACAATTAAGTGCTGGTGTTATCAACTCTAAAGAATAATTTAACTTATATTTAAAACAGATTTGCATAAACCTCTAATACAATTGTCTGCCACGCTGACTGCCACTCACCTTCCCTAATAGTACTATGAAGCACTAATTTTTAAAAAGGTATGAAATGTGCATTTATCATCCAAACAATATTAGGAAGCTGTTCAGCAGTTCGACAACTTTTATTGTATGTGCTTCTTTACCTGGATAGACATTTGGCAACATATATATAGAGAGAGGAAAGCTTTAGGCAGTCAAGATATCACCACGTGCTTGACAAAACAACATACACAATGAAGCACCAACATTTCTGAAAAGATAATAGTTCGCTCAAGTGCACTTTATCATTAAGTTACCTGCCCCACTGTGGCCATATTTGTTGCATCTTCTGAGACGCTAACGGACGTGCCCTGCTCGTTCCATATGTGACAAATAACTTGAACTGCATGTTTTGGCAGCACACTGATTGCATCGCCCAAGGTGGCAACGAGTTCCTCCGTAGAGAGATTGTTTCTGGCTGCTGTGCTGTAGGTATATCCAAACAATACCGCATCAATTCTATTCTCCACAAATTTAATAAAATGTCTCACTTCACCCCAAATAGGCATTTTTTTTTTTATTTCTGCTTTATGTGTCTATATAAGTTACAATAATTAGGTAGACTGTGATTATTTTTCCCCCCAGACTATTTCACTAATCCTTTGTATCCACATGCAAAAAACAACATCACTTGACTTTTAATGTATCTTAATACGCAGAGACGAAGCTTTGCTGGGTTTGCACAACACACAACATTAAAACAAAAATAATCACAGCCTCCAAGTACTGTTGCAACTGAAAAAAAACATAATTCAGTGAAAGATGTGTGCACAGAGTGGTTAAACAACATTATTACTTTAGAAGCAAAGCAGTTTAATTAAACATTTAGGAGAGGTAATTTAAGTATCACCAAAAGGCAAGTAAGGACCTCTAGGTAATGGCATAATTGCTACTAACAGAAGTCAAATGATGCAATAAACACTCAACTAAAATGGCAGCAAGTCTAGAGGAAAATTGCACCTCAATTTCCTCGACAGAAACAGGTCAAAAAAAATTAAAAAAAAAAAAAATCACACACTAGTTTTGTTCATGCAGATCCACTCCTCTTTTAGAGACATTAATTAAAAGAGAAAAAGAGTTGGTCCTCCAAGTAGTATGGTCTAATATAATTTAAGGGCTTATATTTTATAGAGGAAAAAAGTAGTACGTTAAATTTCTACTGGTATATTTTCTTCAGTCACATTAATGTTACGTAAAGTGTTTAAATACTACATACTAAAAGTACAAGCAAGATCTTTAAAATTTTATCGCTCTGAAAATAGAAAAACTTACAGCAAAACAACAGTTGAAAATGCTACCTAAAAACTCTATCTTTGTAAAGTTCCACATTATAAAACTGTGTGCCCTTCAAACAGGAAAAAATGCTGGTTTCTAATCTCTACGAAAAAAAAAAAAAGAAGTTTTGAGAATAAACTTCTTCCAGGCACAGGCCCAGCTGGCTTAGCTTTAGAACTGCGCTTAACTTCCTCTTTTATTTTGCCATTAGTTCTAAAGCTTGCAGACAGGATCTTAGAACCTTTTCCTCTCTTCAGGATTTTTTTTTTGTTATTACAAACAGTGAGACTACATATTAATTAACTACACAATTTTAAGAACATCGACTAAGCCCAGAAGTTCTTTTTTGTGTACTGAGAGTTACAAACTTTTGCCTTTTTCCTAAATCAGTTCATTTTATACCCCCGTTTGATGTCACTTTCTAATACCACTATTAAGTTGGGTCGGAGGGAAATAAGACATAAGGCAAAGTAAATTATTTTGTGCTTACCTAAACAGGAAAGAAATAATGTTAGCTATTTTTGCCAGGTCACCAACATTAATCTCAATTCCAGATGTTTGAATTCTCTAGAAACAGAATGTTCAAACAATTACAAATAATAATAAATTATGCATTAATAAAAACCTCTTTGTGTATATATATATACACACAAAAAATGACTTGGGGAATCTATCCTTTACAGCATATACAGCTAATATACTTGTAAACTTACCTGACACAGTTCAGCTGTATTTACACCTGGGATCTTATGGTTCAAATGCTGAATTATTTGTTCACACTGTAAGCAAAGTAAGTTTGAAAACATTCTTAATGCATATTTTAATATACAAGACAAAGCTAGTTTGAATACTTGGAGATTAAAAAAACAAAAAAAGAAAACTGGTTAATACAAAAATGGGTAACAGGAAGATGCTTCAAATGCAGAGTGAAGAATAAAGTAATTGAAATTACTGATTTTAAAGTTACATCAAATCCAAGAAAAGCAAATAAACTCAGTTAAGACTTTTTAGTTACCACCTCACTAGATATTCCTACTTAATACACCATTTTCATACTACTCGAACTGTCATCCCGTTCAAGTGCACACTACAGTAAACAAGCTGAATGTTTTCTAGCAAGCTAGCTTGATATCTCATTTAGATGAAAAGCAAAACATTTTTAAGTGTCTTCTGTGATAAAAACATAAATTTAAAGCAATCTCATTGCTCTTAGCGGACTGGTCCATTTTATGAGTCATGTAAATCTAACCTACCACATACGTAAGATTCGCTTAGCAACAGATAAAAAACAGAAGAGCTTAAACAAAAAGGTTTCCTAGAATCAAAGAGTGCCAGAAGTCCTTCCACACCCCATTTATTGTCCTACTTACCAGTTCTGCAAAAAAGTCTTGAGGTATTAAATTAATCTTAGCTGCTGCACCACCAACATCTGAAAAACACAAGCAGTAGTCATCACAAGCAAATACTTACAAGTGTTATCATAATACATCTAACCTCTCTCTGAAGAATTCCTAGGTCACCATGCATGCATTTACCTTAAAAACACAGCTTTCTTTAGGGGAGCTTGTCCTGAATTGCATTAACATAACGTGCTCTGCGTCTCAAATAAAGCCTACTATGAGCGACTCCATAAGGTCTCAGAAGTCCCAGACTGAGTCTATGCAATTGCACAGTTTGACGGCCCTGAATAACTCTCCCGACCCTCTGGGGCAGTATGCGCACCAAGTCCCTCGGCACACCGGGAGGCCGCGCACGCCCAAGGCTGCCCTCTGGCACCAGCAGCACAGTACCACAGCTCTCCCGAAGGCTACGCTGCCTCATCCATGCCGCGTCCCGGCAGCGAAGCCCCCAACGGCCCGCGGACAGCCCAGAAAGCCCCCCGCTGGCCCACCACAAGCCTTCGCCAGCGGGAACGGATGGCGCCGGGCCCTGGGGTGAGGTGGCTCTACGGGAGGGCCCCCGGCTAAGCCCTCGGGAGGGGGAAGCGCTCCTCCCCACACCCCATCCCGCGGGCCTGGGTAGGCCCGGGTCCCCCTCAGCCCACACCGGGGACCCCTCTCGACCCCTCTCTACCCCCTCACCCAGCGCCTCCAGCGCCCGCGCAAGCACGGCCACAGAACCGGCAGCCATAGCGCCGCGCCCCGGGCGGGGCCTGCCCGCGCGCGTGGGGCTGCGTTCCCCGCCTCGACGCTGGGTGGGTGTGAGGCCCGTCGGGTGCGGGAGGAGGTGTCGGCCTTCTCGAAGGAAATCGCTTCTTAAATGGATACAAGTTAAACTACGGCCGCGTTTTAAGAGACTGTTGGGTCTGCAAGCAGCGGGTGGAAAAGGTCGTCTGCAGATGGTGGCTCAGGGCCCAACAGGCCGGGGCCTAGCTCTGCTTCACCTCAGGCTAGCAGTGCCCTCCCACCGCAGGCCCCTGTGAGGGTGTTTACGGTAGAGTTGGCTTGGGAAATGGCACTGGTGTGAGAATCATTTGGGGAGGCTTTCAGAAGCGGTAGTTCAAGTCACACCTGGTTTGTGCAACAAGTTGTTTACCCGGTTTATTGTTAACTGGCATCAAGGTTTTCTTGGTGCTCGTAGTTACGGTCTCAGGTACGTAAATCATGCACTGTTGTGTGCACACAACACATGTGGTGTATTGAACGGATACACGGGCTGACTGTACTTATACAGGTGTGTTGTGGAATCAGGCTGTACACTTGCAAATAAACTCTGCAGTTCATGGTTGATTTGTGTAGCTAAACTATGTCTTCGGTTTAATGGAAAAACGGCCATTTATTGTAAAACTGCAGCTAGAACCATGTTCAATAAGCTTTGCGTGCTGAACTTACTGAAGTAACTTTGGGGTATGGCTGGAGCCCTAAAACAACACTGGTCCTTCACCAGTTTCACCTTTTAAAAGCAGCAAATGTTCTTAGATTTCTCTAGTAAACCAGTTTTACATTTGTTTTTAGCTCTTTTTTTTTCTATATTGTAATGCTACAGTCTCAGTAGATCTATTGTAAGACTCTGTGACAGAGTAGTGAAACATAACTTGTCATGCAGTAGTGCTTGCTAGTTTAAAATTATGTATTTTCAATAAACGTTAATGAAAGAATTTAGAAGATACTTCAGGAAAAGAGTAATTATTATGGAACATGGTGTGTCTTTATGAGCTTTATACATTTATAGTCTGTCTGATCCTGGCCTCTCCCTTCTAAAGTATCTAATTAAGTGTGCAAATGTTTTTAAGTAGTATGTGTTTTCATGACCTCATGATTGTCAAAACACTATCAATATACGTACTAGTAACATCTGTCTGTGATACAAGGACTTGATGTAACAATCTCTTTGTTCTTGACTTTGGTAACTATTAGATGCTTTGTTATCTAGAGAATTTTACATATTGTTTTATATTACAATTTCATCAAGTCTCTTAGTAGTGCCTTCAGCAGTATGACTAATACTTATGTTACTTTTAATTCTTTCTCCAAGATCTGGAGAGAGATGTGAAGCTGAATATCTTGGTGGTTTGATAATTACAGGATCAATTGCTGAAATTTGGAGTTATTCTGGGATTATTTTCGTCAACATGTAAACATGCATTTAGGTCTTTGAATTTGGAATAGAAGGTGGTGAAACATATAGTGATTTCAGCTTGTCTGCCCATCCACAGAATTAAACTGTGTCTCTGGAAAATTCTGCCTTCTGTAAGTGTACTCTATGAAGCTTTTCATGGCAGAGGAAGGTAGATGCAGACTGTGATAGTGATCTGACAGTACAGGCCCGTTTCTTAGCTAGGTGAGAGCTGAGAACTTAGTATGCGGAGAAACTCAGAATAGAAACTAGAAGACAAATCTCATGAGCTACAAATAGACCAGATTGCTGAAGAGATACACTACAGTGTTGTTGATAGGTCAATACAGAAGCTTCACGCACAGGTACGTAGTATCACTGTAGTCCTGCTAAGTGATAATGGTGTAAAATAAAATAAAAACATCATTAGGTAATTTACTCCATTTCATAAACTTAACATTTACAGGATGGGGCGTAATTTGCATCAACACTCCAAAGAACTATACCACGTTCTTCAAAAAACTCTTCAGGCCAATGGGAGAAAGTCTATCTGTTAACTGGTTTCTCCAGTCCCTCAACTGTATGGTATCTCCAACAGCCTACTTTTCTGGCTGTCTAGCATGTTGGTATTCCCATCTCTACAGTACCTAGGAACAGCGTTTGCTCACGTTGTACTACTTCCTTCTCTCATGGGACTCTGGTTTGCCTGTAAACTGGCAGTTTCCATCTTTCCTGCACCCTCTCTTTTCACCCTTGATGTACGTGCATGCTCAAACACCTACTTCCTGCTGCCCACGGTCTTTCTGGGCACATGCTGGGCTGGCCTGGAGGTCCAGCTCGTGGGCTTCTGCAGGCTCGGTGGAGAATGGATTGAGAGCAGCCCTAAGGAGAAGGACTTGCGATGTATTCGTTGATGGGAAGCTCAACATGAGCCCACAATATGCGCTTACAGCCCAGAAAGCCAACTGCATCCTGGTTGCATCAGAAGAAGTGTGGCCAGCACACTGAGGGAGGTGATTCTGCCCCTCTACTCCGCTTTGGTGCGATCCCACTTGGAATACTGTGTCGACCTCTGGAGCCCCCAAAATAAGAAGGACATTGGCCTGTTGGAGCGGGTTCAGAGGAGGGCCATGAAGATGGTCAGAGGGCTAGAGCACCTCTCCTATGAGGACAGGCTGAGAGAGTTGGGGTTGTTCAGCCTGGAGAAGAGAAGGCTCCAGGGAAAGCCTTCGAGCATCTGAAGGGGGCCAACAAGAAAGCTGGAGAGGGGCTTTTTCAAGGGCATGTAGTGATAGGACAAGGGGGAATGGCTTCAAACTGCAAGACAGTAGATTTAGATCAGGTATTAGGAAGAAATTCTTGACTGTGAGGGTGGTGGGGCACTGGAACAGGTTGCCCAGGGAAATTGTGGATGCCCCATCCCTGGAAGTGTTCAAGGCCAGGTTGGATGGGGCTTTGAGCAACCTGGTCTAGTGGGAGGTGTCCCTGCCCATGGCAGAGGGGTTGGAACTCGATGATCTTTATAGTCCCTTCCAACCCAAACCATTCTATGAAAAACCTTGTCCAAGCGTCCACATCTGAAGACACAAGGCCCCATGCAAAGTGCTGTGTCGGGCAGCTGCAGTCTGTGGAGAGTGGTGGTGGGACGAAGCGGTCAGGGAGGCCCCGAGGCCGGGAAGTGGTGTGTTCCTGCTGT